CGCAGACTATTTTTATTAGACTGGGAATATACGAGGATAACAAAACTCATCAGTAAATGTATGTTTGACCTAAATATTCTTCAATCTTGTAGCAACTCCGTACTCGAGAATAGCAATTAAACTTAATTAACATATTATATTTATTGTTATTAAAAATTTTTAACAATTTGCATTTTTGTTTTTGATAATTAGAAAAAAAAATATTTTCATTTGTCACTGTCTGTTGTAAAAATTATCGGAGAAAATGTTTATTTCCCCCACTTATTAATTCCAAAGGTTCGTCGATATTCCAGAGATAGGGCATATTACAGGAAAACGGAAATAGGCGGAAGTTTGATTGATTCCAAGAGCCCGAATTAATAGAAATTTCCGAACGAATGTAACTCATCTGATTGACATCGTGCCATTTAAATTTTAAATGGAAGGGAAACACGAATTTCAAAGATTTGTTCATGGTTTACGTACAATCCATTTAACTTTCAAAAATCTTGATATCGGTGATTTTAAAAATATCTTAAAATAAAAAAATATCTTATTAAAAAAAATTGTATTAATTTATTTTTCCACTGTTATTTTTACTTTAATATTTTGATATTTTAAATTTACATCTTTTTTTCATTAAGATTTTAAACTTTCTTTCCATTGTTATCGAACTAAGTCTAAAGTAAAAAGAAAATTAACTAATCGAGTTCTGCATGCATTTGCGTCCTTTCATTATATTCAGCAAATACATTAAAATCAGCAGATCGATATATGGTAGTTATATGCCACTTGAAGAAAACCTTTTACATTATTACGTTGTATTGTTGTGCGCGCTTTCTTAACGATTAGGCTAACTACTTTGCCCTCCCCATGTGTTGGTAAACGAATATCACGCCTTTAATGTGCGTAGCATGTACAAGGGAAGCGACCTTAGCTTTTGATCGCTTGTTTTTTTAATAAACACGTTCCTTACAATCGTGCTAAGAAAGATTTCGAGTAAACTTTACGTGAAGCAAACTAAACACGAGGGGATAAACACATTTGATATTATGTTTGGATCTTTAGGTATTCATATTTATATGTACGTAGGAAAAAAGAAAATGAAACTGAAATGTTTTACGTGATTACAATATGTTGTATGTAATTGTATTGTAGATATGTATATATGCTAATATTCTTTTTTTAACTTCGAATATTTTGTAATAAACTTTAATTAAAATAGAACTTTAAGAATTATAAGATTTATAAGTTGAAAGTTTAAAAATTTAAAAATAAATATTTCAACAAATATCGAATAAATTTTTGTTGTAATAATTATATTTACTTAAAAAAGAAAAAAATTCGATCGTAGGATAGAATAATTTTTAAATTTTGTTATATAATCAATGTCATAAAACTAACTAATATGTTAAATATACAATTATTTTCTTAATTAGAAATAAATAATTTTAGAAGAGGTTAGAAGAGGTTAAACATCGAAATTTTTATAATATTAATAGTTAAAAAAAATTAAATTCTAAAATAGATTATAGTTTCAAATTTTTTCCTATTTCTAATCAATATCATTTGTACTTCAAATACAATGTTTTTCTACTAAAAATTTCATTTATTTTTGCAAATTGTTTAATTATACAATAATATTATTCATATTCTTAAGCATGATCGTAATTTCTTATTTTATAAGAGTATACGATATATCGACATTCATTTGACAAACTTGACATACATCGTTTAAAATTTGCTATTCATCAAAATATATCTATATTTGATATTTTTCTCAAAAATCTATATTAAATTGAATTTAAAATTTAAATTCAATTTAAATTTCAATGTTATACTGTAAATATTTTAAAATGTTTTATAATTTGTTTATTTCAAAATTATTTAAAGCAAAATTAAAAAAAAAGAAAGAAAAATAAAAAGTAATTAACACAAACTTGCAACAATACAATATAAAATTTAATAACGCAACTATGTTAACCGAAGCGAGAAAAATAATTGTATTATATTAATTCTTATCGTTATGAACTTAGTTACATTTTTTATCATTCGTATCCGGTCTCACAATCTTTTTCTTCCTCAATTCAGTTTCCGCAAAGAAATGTTCTTTTCATCAAATAAACACAGTACTAATAAGATTCTTTCGAGACAATACCAGATGCCTTAAGTTTCGACCGAATTTCCTCCAAGTTTTCCGATCGATTGTGAAATTTTTCCGGTAAAATTCATGCGAAATTTCGTTAGCCATAAAACAATTTCTGCAATTCTTTTTCTCATTGTGTATCTACTATATGTTTTCGTGTCACCATATATTACGTTTAACATTCTTTAATACAAATTTTCTCTGATAAAAACACTCTTATCCACATATTCACATATTGACCTTATTTCGTATTTTTAACCCTCCTTATCTTTTTAATCTTTTTTTTTTTTTTAATCACTACGATAGCAAACCATTAAGTCTTTATAGAAAGCAAATAACAATTCTTTCATTTCACATGAATCTTGTTTTGTATGCGAATGAATTTTATCGTATATATCGTGTATATGAGTGTGCACTTCTATCATAAAAACATAACCATTTATTATTAAACGGGATGCAATTTAAATATGTACCACGTACCACATTACCTTGTGATCGGCTCGAGAAACACTACGACGTCGAATGCCGCACTTATTGAACGATATAACGAAACACAAGAATTTAATGTCCGCGTGAAATTATGTTAAAGCAACGGAGAAATGAAACGAGCATACCACCCTTCGAACACCCGACGCTTTCGTGTCCGAGAGGCCACTGACAGAACTCACGATTTCCCATCTTGCTCGGATACTCCTACTCCCCACCCTTTGCAGAATGAACTGGAAGGGAGAATGTCACGACAAGAAGAGAATATACAACGCGTAATGGGAGCGATTGAGAAGGAAAGAGGCTCTATCGACCCAACCGAACCACCATCCTACGAAAGATGGAGATACACGTTGGTAGCGATGGGTTCGATTAAAATTATTTCGTATAAGCGTGTGTATCGTTGCGAGTTTGTTGTTTGATAAATTAATCGAATTGTTTAAATTTTGTTATCATTTTTCATGAAATAAAAATTTGTTTAATTGTGTAAATATAAAATAAAATTTACACGAAATAAACGAAAAGTAAAGTAAAGTGTATATAAAGAAAAATAATTTTTTTTTTTAACAAGATTCTAATTACGATTCTATAATTAATTAAATAGTAAAAAAATAAATAATATCGAAATAAATATACAAAGTTCTTTCACCCACAATTTTTAATTTTAAATCGTAATATATATTACAATATTTATTTCGATTTCTTTATCTTATCGAAATTAAAAAAAAAAAATTGTTCCTACATTACAAATATAATTTTTAGTTATAATTTAAAATTCTTAATAAAACAAAGTTATTAAGGATGAAAATAGATTACTTAAAAATATACGTATATCAACAAGTTGTTAAACACTTACAAAGTGACCAATATTTTCCCTAGGCTGTTGACATCAAGCAAAGGAGAGGATCAATGCCATCACTATGCACATGTATGCTTCAACGAATGAAGTTGATACGCACGACAAAACGGCGCCAATGTTTCCGGAAGAGCAATAACGTCTTTCAAAATTTTGATGCTTTTGAGAGGGTTCATGTAGAATGAACAATTGGCAGAACGAAAAACAAAGAACTGAATAATTCTTGTTAAGCATCGCAAATAGAAAAATTTCGTTATCCATTCTCTTTGCGTATTTTAAATTCAATTTTCTTCCAGTAATCTGCAATTCGATTTTTATAAAATTTTATTACGTTCGAGTTATCGTTTCAATTGCATCAAATGAAAAAAGATTACAAAGTATTAAATTTAGAACATTTTATCTAAGTAAAGTAATTTTAATTTCAATTATATTTAAAAGTATATTTATAAAATATATATAATAAAATATATATGATTTTCTCGAAGGATTTTCAACTCTGTTAAAAAAAAAACTAGTATGAATATTTCATAATACGTCATACAAAATTAAATTTCTTATTTTTATTAATCAAGGAAAGTATGTTAAAATGATTAAAAGAATGAACCACGCCTAAAATAATATTTGCACGCAATTCCAACATTTTGCTAATGTCCTAATTTCTCTGAGCTTTAAAAAAAATGAGATTAAAAATCTAATTTTTATATAAAATAAAGAAAATTTATTGTCATCATATTTAAATTTTCATTTATAAATATAAAAATTTTATTACATACATTTTCCTGAGACATTTATTTTTTTTTTCCTAAATTAAACTTTGTTACATTCATCTTATTAAAAAGATATTCCATTAAAAAAATTAAATTTGCACACCATTACAGATTTTTCTTTGATGTTTATTGTCCGCTTGAAACTGTCACATTCTCCTTATTTTATCACAGATCATCTTCTTCAACGGTCGGCCACGAAGTATGTGATGAAGTGAGAAAATACTCCAATTCTTATTATTTTATCTAACGTCGTGTCTAGAAGATTAATTTAAAATAAAAATTATATGTTTTGCTGTTGTTTTATTTAACATAAAAAATATTATTTTGTATTTAAAATAAAATTAGTTTCGAAATAATACTTATATTTATTTCCCTGATATTTCCCTTCGAATTATTTTTATGAGTCAATAGTATATATATTATATACACATATCTAATTATTTCATTTGTTTTTTCATTAACAAGATATTAAATATATTAATATCATAAAAAAATAATCATAATTCTGTGAATTATTATATTGACCTGTAAATAAGATCTATACCTTCTTTATTAGGCTTAATATTCATCAAAAGTAATTTTTATCAAAATAATTTATAAAATTTGAATATTTGAAGTTAATAACGATTCGATTGATCCTTTATATATTCTAAATCTCGTTTTTAAAATTCGAAGTCATGAAATCTTAATGATTGCTTGTAATTTTTTTTTCAAACAAAAGTCAATATATATGAATCTGAATTACCGACAATGATAAAACCATTGTAAGTCAGCGCACTCTGTCACATTCATATGTAAGGTTACATACTAAGGTAGAATTTAATATTTTTATCCGAGAACAATTTTCATCAAATTTTCTAATATAATTTTACTTCAAATTTGATCATGGATCGTAAACATTTTAAGTTTTAATTATAAAACATTTTTTACGCAGCACATGTAACAATGTTTTTAATGTTGGCAACTATGTTTGGCAACAGGCCATATGGACAAATAACGTGAATGTGAGCCAATTATGACACAATAATGTTTGATTATCGTATCAAACAATGCAATGTCAATAAACTACAATTTATGCATTGCATAACTGTTATACAGCATCACTTAATTATTCTACGCTATATTATCACATATTGTCATAAATAACCTATATTCAAGGAACTCTGGAAATTTGAAAGGTTTGATTGTAAATATTTTCTAAAGAGGGCGCATTGATGAACAAGGGTGTATCATTTTTAATACAATAACAAAAGAATACTTTCTTTTGTAATTCTATCATTATATAAACGATGTATATAACTTTTTAAAATATCTATTAGAAAATTTCATAGAAATAACAGAATTACATATCAATAAAAAGTTTTTAATGTTATTAAATGCAAAGATGAATAAAATATGGAAAAACTTTGAATAAAATTAAATTCGTTATAAATTTATCATAAATTATAATATTAAAAGTTGAAAATATTCAAAATATATGCTTCTAATATTAATAATTATTCGAATATTGAATTATTTAGTAACCCATAACTTGCATTTATTTAGTAACCCATTCCCTTTGCATTTAATCCCATCAATTACATAAGAGAGATGTGACCGAAAGCGCTACTTAAGAAGTGCTTGTCAACCATAGGGTCAAAGGTATTTCTATGAAGCCCTCGAGGTTGAAGCATTTACACCTCGCTATCGCAATATTGTGATATATCATTTTGTAATAACGAAAACGTAACATGAATTACATAGCACAACAATTAAACAGCTTTGCTTAAAAAAAACTTGTGTTCTTTCTTTCTTTTTTTTTTACAATTTCTTTTTGTACATTGTGCCTTAAGATAAAGACAACAATAATCATAAAACGATTGTGCAATGTATATAATATATATATATGTATAATTCATCGAACTTCGATATTATTTAACTATCTACGTATTTATTTTGAATATATTATATTACACGTTTATACAAATATAATATATAATATATACATTATATTTATATTTTTACAGCTTTACTTTTTTTCCCCTCTCTTTCCGCGGGATTTTATAACTGAAAATTCCTATGAGATCACAGGACATCACAAGTATATATATACATATATATATATATATATATATATATGTATATATATATATATATAAATGGTGATCATAATAAAAATTCGACCCCATTTTATTCGGACAAGGTACAAAAAATATCGTCAGCATACACGGTATGCAGAATGCGGTTTTACGATAGAATATAAAACTCATTGATGATCTATTATTAAATAATTAAACAATAGCCTACTTTACGAGATTATCGTCCGGGATAATCGAGTCTCATTTATTAATAGAACTTCAGATCGATTGCCTCTGCGCTTAGTACATCAGAAGTTCTGAAGTATTATGTTAAAAAAACTACAAAAAACCATACTTTTTTTTTTGTTCGCGTATTCACCTGTCGATGTTTTTTTCGTTTCTTTCTTTTTTTCTTTTAAAACAAACTTATGTATCATATAATATATATAATCATTTAATCAATAACAAATATTTTCAGGACATAAGGATATAAAATTGGAAAAATAATAATCAAAAAATTATCGATCATTAAAAACGTGCATAAATTATCGACAGGCAAATGAACATATTTAAAGAGGAAATGAAAGCAAATAATCAAATATAACAAAATAGCAATGAACTTCCAATAATGAAGCGAAAATTATTGTTACTTTGAGCGAAGGCACTTTACTCGTTAATAACGTTTCGCAATTTTTCGTTATACACTCCCGTAAATAATCGCACGATCGATCTACATTCTGCTATATACATCGCTCAATTATCACTCCCATACATTTGTAACATCACTTTTGTTTCTCTTGTATCGCGATAAAATCGCTCGAATGAAACTTGACCGATGCAGTTACATGGCGGAACGTAATAACGAACGCTACAACTTCCAGGTTATCGTTATCAGGATTTAACGGATTTTTTTTTTAATCTCTGTTTATATCTCTATCGTTTATTCAACTTTTGTTGTACACACAACACGTAATTGATTTCATTTTTTATTAGAAAAGAAAATCCAGAAAGTTAGAAAATTACATGCTATAAAATGTTAATGTTAAAAAAAAAAAAAAAAAAAAAAAAAAAAAAAAAAAAAAAAAAGAAAAAAAAAAGAAAAAATTCACAATATAAAAGGATTATTGGAAATAATTATTGCTGAATTGTTAGAGTTACAAGAAAGGAAGTCCGAGGTGTATAAAGTTGTCTGACGACTGTCGTACAAGTTTCACTTAAGAGTTATTTTATCGGGAAACAAATTGCAATTGCCTTTAAAACAAGCGATTCTCGATTCGAATATATATTTACACGTTCGTTTCGCAAAAATATTTCGCAACATCTTGGATTACATTGATACACGAATCGTATGTATTTCTATCTGATTTTTTTTTTTTTTTTTTTCTTTTTCGTTGAAATCATACTCATAAATATACACGCACACATACGCATTCATCGTAAGGGAAATGACACGAAAGTCCCTGATGCTAGACAAGTGTAGAACACTTAAATCACGCACACATAACGCATCGTACGGCTTGCCAGCTAAAATCGATACGATCGCACACGCAGCCTCGCGGATAAAGAATTCGATGGATAAATTCCAACTTTGTAGATTTTTTTTCAAGAGCAATGCAACGTAACGTAGCGGAACAAATCACTCGAGCTGCCAAAATTAACTTTCCAATTTTTTCACGAATGTATTTACACATTTACATTACATATTCGTTTCATTCGTAATACTATCTATATATATATATATATATATATATATATATTTCTCGATCCTTTGCTATATCATTCTATTTAGGATTATCCTTTGCGATCAAATCCGTACAAACGATCTGATAATTCGAAACGAATGATCGCTTTAGCAATAGAATGTTTAAAAAATAATAATAATAATAAGAAGAAGAAGAAATAATTTACATCAATTGTTCAATTCTCGATCGAAAATTGATCGATCGTCCAGCTGGAAAATCGCAAAAGGAAATCGGAAAATTTCGTGGCCAAGAACGCAATTACACCATTCACGCGTTACATCAAGCAGAGAGATACATTTGCACGCAATTAGATTTTATTCAATTCTCATCCGATGATTCGGTTACAATAGTTTGAAAAAGATTTAAAAAGTGGAAGAAGCGTAGTACATAGTGCTATAAAATAAGAACCATTTAAAATGGAGAGATCCTTTCTTCTGCCTTTGTTCTACGCGCGGAGAGAAAGGTAATGATAACGCTAAAAACTGTACAATATGTATTTTATACATTCCGTTCGGGCAGCCGTAGCGGCTCGTGTTACAAGTGTTATATGTATATATATATATATATAAATACGAATATATATATATATATATATATATATTCGTATTTATCACGCTTTGTTATGTACAAATTAATATATAACGCCGCCACATTCTTTCATAATTCACCGGGACTGTTAATGCCCTTTAAAGCATTTGGGAAAAAAAAAAAAAAAAAAAAAAAAAGGAGATAACGTCGATCGTCGATTTAAGTAATTTAAATCTTATTTCACAACAATGAAACAAATTTGTTACAGTAAAAATATATACGCTTATTACAAGTCAACGTATGCGCATACAAATTTGCAAAATTAAAATAAATATTCATGAGTGATGAAATTTAAATTTTTACTGATAGATCGTGACGTATGAAAATATAATGTAAAATAATCGGAATATGGATGTTTATACAAAAAGTTCATTTATTTATATATATATATATATTTTTGAGCACAACTGAAGGAATAAAAATTTGTTTCAAAATATATTTGTGTTAAAATATTATTATGAATATATTATTAATAATTAATTAAAAATATTTTGATATTTGGATATATTTTAATACATATATATTCTGTACATTTTTGCACATTTAAATTTCTGATAAATACATAAACATCCACAAATATTGGTTATATTAATGTAAATGTATTCATAAATAATAAAAAATTAAAAAGTTATATACATGAATGAATGCATTATCTAATAAATGAATACATTTACAAGCGATAATAAAGGTTTTTATAATTAATTTTACATAAATACATACATTGACTACCTATCAGTAAGTAAGTGTATGTATTTATTATGTTATAATCGATAAAATATTTTTAAATTATAATCAAAAAATAATTTAAAATTTTCAATATTATAGAATGAATAAAAAATATTTGAACAAAAAAAAAAAAAAAAAAAAAAAAAAAAAA